TTTGTCCAATTAAGTGTTTATATCATAAGTTAATAATTATTTGTTTGCATCATGTCCCTCTGAACAGATCTGGGGACTTTGAAAAGTTCCCCATGATAATTTGGTTTTATGTGATTGTGATGAATACAAAAGTTGTAGATAACTTATGTATCTAGCTCCTGTCAAAATTTGAGGGCATTTGGCCCAGTAGTTTAGAAACTACATCTGTTTAGAGTTAGGTTCCAGTTTTGCTTACTCTCTGCCTTGTGAGGATAGAGTTCTGTTGATTTATGAATTCGACTTGGTAAAGTGTTGAATCATGCTTTGAGGTCTAAAAATGAATTGTAGACAATTTCATAAGCTTTCCAGATTGTCTTGTTGCAAGTCATTTGGATTTATAAATCTCCAGTTATGGCTAGTTTATTGCACCACTACATAGTATTCATTTTGCTGAAATACAAATGCTTGAGTGTATGTTGTTGCAAGGTTATCGTTGATTGTTTAGGGGTTAGCCTAACTTGAGAATATGCTTAGGTGCAGGTGCTAGGTCATTAACTGAAGATGAGCAATTATACCTTAGGTTGTATAAACTTGGTAAGTAAAGTGAATTGAATAGGGCTTAAGTTGGAATATGCAAACTACAGCGAACATGTGCATTCGCCGAGCATCCCTGACATTCGTTCATATGCATCCATGATATTTATCTTGCGCATTCATGCAATAGGTGTGCCGGAGGGAGTGACGTTGCTGGAGTTCGAGGGAGCCAACCAGGAGGAGGAACTCGAGGTGCAGGAAGCCGATGAAGCAGTCGCCGCGGAGGAATTGCCCGAGTGCCCTGACCACTAGCCTTCCTCGTTCTTGAAAGGCAAGCCCCGGAGCATATTAAGCCTCCTATGTTTTTATAAATACTTTGAGTACCTTTTATTGTTGATGATGCATTAAGTATAGGAATTGGTTGGAACCAATTGTTGCATTATACATCCTTCCTTGTCCAGATATCGCACTGGAATCCTATTTAAGTTCAGGAACGGGTTAAATGCTTAGCCATGCTTAGTGCGGTAGAAGTCAGGTGATTTCCTGTCACCTGCGAGCTTTAGGATGAGGTGGATCATGGTTGGCTATATTTGCTATCGTAGAAAAGAACCATGTGAATAATGAATTAAGACCGGGCGGGGTCTTGTGTAGGTTTGAACATAGTGACTCCGTCTGAGTCGTTTAAGGACCGATACGCTGTACGTCCTCATGTCATGTTGAACGCAGCCTAACACTTAGCTGGCCGGATAAGTCGTTCGACCACAAAGCCTAGTAGCTCGACTCGGGGCCGGGGACGCGGCGAAAGGCGGCATTCTCGGAGGTAGTAAGGATGTGCGGAGAGCCATTGGCATAAGTCCAAAGGCGGGTTAGAGTCCCGGACAACCTTGGCGAGTGGTTCTCTCGAGAATGTCGACTGATCGGACTCGCGACTCTGAATCGTACCAAAGGTGACTTGTTTGCGACTCTGACGGGAGAAGCAGTGTTTGTGTTTAGGAATACCCCTCCAGCTGGATAGGAATCCATTCGAATCGCCGTCTCTCCCGGATAGTGAGAACTTGACTGAGCAGCGGCAACGTAGATTCAATTAATTTAACGATATGGTTAAATGGATGATGATGATAAGGTTGCCACAATGAATACCTGATATGGTTATTAATGTTTGCACCCTAATAAAATGATTGCTTAGTACAGGTGCTAATATAGTTGACAGGTTAATGGCTAAAAAGTCACTGCTAGTTCAGGTTAAGAGTTAATCATTATTACTTATGCTTTTCTGCAAAAAGAAAGTGTCAGCCAGATCCACTACATTAAGCTATGCATAATCCTTGGTGTCATTTATTTTAGTTTCTGGCGGGTAAGTCTAGCTGAGTACATTCCCGTACTCAGGGTTTATTTCCTCTTGTTGCAGATGACCTTCTATATCAGGGATTCTGTAAATATTATCTCCACCCGGCGGGTGATGAAGACTAGATCATGGGCATGATCTCTGTTCTCTTATCTGAATGCTTTTGCGGGCTGTGATCAGCGAACCAGTATGTGTATTTGAACTCGAGTGTGTGAGTTAAACTATTTGCTTCCGCATGTTTTACAAGACTTGTTTTGTAATAACGATGACTCTATGATGATGTAATCTATTTGCGAACGTCTGCGAAATGTTGTAACGTACGATATGTTATGTTGAATTACTATGATCTTGGTTGTATGCAAGTTGGTTTGAAATCCTTCGAGATTTCAGTTGACTACCGGGTTTATATGGGCTCAAGTTCGAGAATTTGATCGTTTCGGCGATTGTTTTTGTACTTGTGCTCTTATAAATTGGTCGGTTCTGTGACAATACTGACTCGAGTGGGTTTGGAAAGCTATTTTTAGTTCTTCACCCGGCTGCAAACGGATTTGATGATAGCCGGCTATTAGATCCAGACAAGTAAACCACGAGGCATGAGTAAGCTCATCTAGCAACTCCTCGATCACCGGTACCGGATATTTGGCCTTAGCAGTAATCGCGTTCAAGTGTCGGAAATCCACACAAAATCGGAAGGACCTGTCCTTCTTCTTGACAAGTAATATAGAAGAAGAGAACGGACTGTTACTAGGTTGAATGATGCCAGACTTGAGCATATCTGTTACTTGCCTCTTAATTTTGTCCTTGACAGCAGGCGGGTAGCGATAAGGGCGAACTTGCATGGGCAAGGCCCCTGGGATGAGGGGAATAGCATGATCAAAAGGCCATGTAGGAGGGTAACAAGTTGGAGGAGCAAAAACCGACTCAAACTCTTGCAATATTTCAGACACTGCTGGATGAACAGAGGTTGGTTGAGAGGCATCTTCAGCTGACACAGCAGTAACTTGGATAACTGATCCCTCCGATAACGCCATCAACTTTCCTTGCAAGCGAGCAGTGGTATGGCCATGAGGCATCAAGAGCCACTTGTGCTGCCAGTCAATTTGCATGGGGCTATGACGTGCCAACCAGTCCATCCCGAGAATCATATCATATGATGGCATTGGTAAAGCCAAGAAAGCTAAACTAAACTGACACTGTTGCACCTCCCAAGAGAGATCACTGAAAGACTACGGACACTCAACGATGCTACCATCAGCAATTCGAACTTGAGGTGGAACTGCCAGAGATTGGCCACCAGTCAACTTACTAGCCAAATCAGTGCTGATGAACGAGCAAGAACTGCCAGAATCCACTAATATCTGAACTAGAATGCCCTGGACCGTGCCTTCCAAATGGATGGACCAAACTGGAGTGGGAGCAGCAACTGACGCTAGCACTTGGACAGCAAAAACTTGTGCAGAATCATCCTCAGTGGTAGCTTCGTCAAAACATTCAGATTCATCAGTATTACACATCTCCCAAAATTCTTGTAGAGCGTGCAACTAAAGGGCTTCGCGAGACCATTTCTCTCCACAGCGAACACACAAGCCGCGGGCACGCCTGTAAGACCGCAGTGTGTTCAACTTGTTCTCCACGCCATGGGGCTAATGGTCATCAGCCTGAGCCCCACCCGTAGTTGTCCGACCACCACGATCAGGAGCAGTGGCCGGCGGCAGCATGGGTAGAGACTTGGATACCGACTTCCTTCGGCAAGGGTCCACTAGTTCTTCTTGCAACAAGGCGAGAACGCAGGCAGCATCCACAGTAGATGGGTGTTGCATATGCACAGCAGAACGATTGTCATCCCGCAACCCATCCACAAAGCGCGTAACATAAAATAGGGGATCTATAGTTTTGCCATAAGCTATGAGTTGATCTACCAAGCCAGTAAACCTATCTACATACTCCTGAACACTCCCAGTTTGCCATATGTGAAACAACTGGCGAATCAGCAACTCATACTGATCCCAACCAAAACGATCTAGGATCAACTTACAAAACTCCTCCCAGTTGACCTTCTTCACCTTTGGATCCAAGGACTGCAGCCAGCGAGATGCGGCGCCTGTCATCCGCATCGTGGCTACACGAATCCATTGACTGGGCTCAACAAAATACATGTCGAAATAATCATCACAACGACTGAGCCACAGCTTTGGATCCTCCCCATCAAATCTAGAAAATCCATCTTCGGTAACTTACTACTAGAATACTAAGGCCCCCAATCTTCGGTAACACCATGAAACTCTCGATCCCCCATTTCCAACGCTGAACTAGAGAGAGACCGATGGAGGACAAACTAATGGGTGGGCTGGGGAAGGGAGTGGATGGTGTGCTTACCCTTGACCGAGGGTTGAGCCATGGACTCGAACCCCCGGTGATGATGTGCAACGCCATGCCCAACAAACGGGCCGATGGCCGGGTGCCCGACAGATGATGTCGCCGCGGCCACCACGTGTTGGGACTTTAGGACACCAGTGGTGGTCGCCGGCTCCGAGTCGAGCACCACACGACTCTCAGTTTTGCGAAGGACAGTCATCTCTTCGCGCAACTGCTCCACCACCACGTCGGACTTGCAAATCGCCCCAACTCCGAGCGCAGCTCCGCCACCGACGCGTCCACCTTGGGCTTCCATTCATCAAAAACCTTGGCGGTGTCCTCCAATCGGTTGAATCGGTCCGCGATGGAGTGCTCCACGGCCCTGATCCGCTTGCCCAGCGACGCCTCCACCTCCCCGATACGCCCTCCGAGGGATGATTCGAGCGAGGTCTTCACGGACTTGAGCTCATCCAGCAGAAGCTTGGTGTTGGGATCCATGGCACCAAGATGCTTACAGAACCTGGTGAAATGGTCGTGGACGATCTCGTGAGGTTCTAGGATGGGGATAGGATGGATCCGCCAAGGAACGATAGGCTCTGGATACCAATTTGTTAGCAATCGAGGAAGGGAAGGAGGAATTGTAGCAGGGGCGAGGCAGCAGAGCAAAGGATAGGAGGAAGACGAATCTTAGTATGCAGTTTGGGAATATCTGATTACAATAGTCATGCCTTCTAAGAGGCAGAGGCCAGCACATATATGAGGAAGGCAACTCACGCACGCACACGCTATGTCTTACTGGGCTCACTCGTTCACCCATTGCGGCTCAAACACCCAAGCGCTCTTAGTCTTAGCCCGTTCAGGTCTTCCTTCTGCCAAGCCCGGCACAGATGCCTCTTGTTGCTCATTCAGCACAGAGGACTGGACTTCGGTCCTGACAATCTCGCCGGCTGCGATACATGAGTTTGACCGGAGGACCGGAAATAGATTTGGAGGTACCGCACGCTTCGTGGATTGACTTTGGGTTTCTTGAGCTGACACTCCTGAATACTTGCTGTTCGAGAAAAAAACTCCTGAATCCTTGCTCGATCAGACGGAGGAGATGGTCCGTGCTCCGTGGCCTGGTAATGGTAATTCACAGTACAGTGTCCAACAAAGAGCGGGTTGTTGCCGACCCTATAGCCTGAGCATCTGCGATCGAACGTCAGATTAAAAGCCACGGAGTACGCTGTACTGCTGCAGCCTGGGCATCCCTTCCCTCCTGGGCTCCGGATGATCACACGCCTGCGTGCGCTCATGCTGTCCAGGGGACCAGGCCGCAGGGGCAGGGTCTCGCTCACCGAACACGTGCGAGGTGCGACGGATGGATCCCCGCCGCCGACCGCTGCGCCCTGCGCGGTCCGGCTGGACGACACGGGCTGGGCTTCGATGGGATGGGCCTATACGGGACCCAGCAGAATAGTAATTAAGAAAAAAAATTATTTAGTTTGGTTGCTTCGAGATTCGTTTTATTTTTAGAAAGAAGAGTATTATAGCAGTTCTCTTTAAAAAAAATTATTCGATTTTCATCGTCGTAGTGTTCCACTTTTACTGTCAACTTTGGCCGCCAACAAGCAAAACCAGCAACGTTGAGATATATTTAGAGCTTGTTTGGTAGAGCTCCGTGCGGTTTTGATTCACTATGGAAACTGATTTTCAAGGAGAAGTCATTCTGTGACTAAAAGTGATTCTCTTTAATTCTTTAGCATAAAGTCTAAAAATCATAATGGAGAATCACTTCAGCCTCTTAGTTTATTTAGAGAATCACTTTACAGAATTAGCAGATAATTACTTCTCTCTGAAAAAACTGGTTGGCAGTGCTCCTGCTAAATTCAGCAGAGGATTAACTTTGGGAGCTTTGCCAAACAGAGCCTTAGTAGTGATTATGGCATAGTCAGCCGCTGACATAGCTTCAATTGTTATATTGATAATGTTCATTAGGGCTTAACAACTCAAACGCCAGATGATTATGAATATTCAAAGGGGTTTTAAGATTTACTACTCCCTCGATCTCAAGATATAAGGCAGCACATATTTCAAAATTCAAACTTTGTTATCTTTAACCAATAATTAGCCTATTAATATAAAAGTTTTATAGTACAATAGTGGTAACATTAGATTTGTATTTACAAATACTTTCTAATAATATTTTGTTGTTGCCATAACTTATATATAATAGTATAAACTAACGGTTATAGTATGATCTTGAAAACCATATCGAGTCAAATCGCGTCTTCTATGATGAGATGGAGGGAGTATTTTTTGAAAAATTCCGTAAAAAATATTATGTGTAATAGATTTATTATAATGTTTGGTTTGCATCGTGATGGCATGTAGAATTATCTGATCCTAGTACCGTGCCTAGTCTTGGTGTTTGGTTTGCATCATGTCATCCACCCATCCGTCGTGGAAATCGATTCGTGTATTACCGTGTCACCGCCGTGAAATTTTTGTATTTTGGTCTCTTTTGAAAACAATTTTAGAAAAATACCTACCCAAAACATTTTCCGAAAATAGACCATTTTTAGGCGTCTTAGCACATGACGCCTAGATATGAGGCTCGGCGTCGTGTCATTCAACGCCGAGGTATTGCCACGTCACGGACGCACGGGTCGTCGTCGACACGGTGATGCTGTGGGTCCGAGATGTCGGCGTCATGTCACCGACGCCAAGTGCCCAACCTCGGCGTGGCTGGACTGCGCATGCCGAGCAAATGGACCCACCCGGAGCGGCCCAACAAAGCACGGTGGCCCAGAAGCTCGGCGTTGGGTCACTTAACGCCGAGCCTCTAGACCTCGGTGTGGCCCGACTCAACGCCGAGGTCTGGTCCCTTTAGGCCGCGCCGAGGCCCCTTCTTCTTCCTCCCTCCATTCTAAAACCGCCGGCCTCCCTCTCTTTCTCTTCTCCCCCGCGCCGCCACCAAACCCTAGGCTCCAAAATCGACCCCCGATGCCACGATCTTGTCTCCCGAAGCTTCCTCGAGGTAATAGTCCCTCCCCTCCTCCATTCTATCCGCGTAGATGTGCTTACATTGTCCCTAATCATGTGGAATCATGGTTGTATGGTGTTTTGATATATTTGTGTTTGCATTTGCAAAATGTATGGCTTAGGATGATTGAGTGCATTGTTGTTTAACTGTTTTATGTGATGAACATGTTAGGTTAGTTTGGTTTCTAGTTATTTTGGTCATTAGGGTTCTTTGTTTATTGTAGGTGTCATTAGGGTTAGTTATTTGTTGGTCATTAGGGTTACTATGTATTTTATTTATTTGTTGGTCATTACATTTCAATTCGTTATGACTATAAATGATTATGTTGTTGGGGTTGAAAAAGATGAAATAATATATTTTAGTTTCTACTTATTGGATTGCAACTCGCATGATATATTGATATGTGACACTACTTGTTGTGTGATGACTGTAGATGGATAAATTAGTGAGGTTGCATCATGGAGGCCGTATTGTTAGGACAAGAGATGATAGTTTGGAATTTCTGGACATGTGTGAGGAGTTGTTGATTTTTTCTGAAACACCATCTTTGACCCAGTTAGTGGAGCGAGTCAAGGTTAAGTTAGGCTAGAATGAAGGAGACGTGCATGTTCAGTTTGAAGGTGTCATAGATGTTGGGTCATCGAAGGGTCCTCGGATCAAGCGGTTGCTCAAAATTACAAGCGAGACTGAATGGAATGATTACAAGGCAGTTGTATTGGCCTCAGAAGTGCGATATTTGGATTTAGTAGTAAGTAAGGAGTCCGGCTTAGGAAATGATAACGTCGAAGCATGGCCATCTTCCCCCGCTCACATAGGTTATGGTCCTTTACCTGAAGAAGAAATACTTGTCACACAACTAGGCTACGGTGGAGATGAGGAAGAGAATCCGGTTGCCGATGGTGAGGGCAATCATGATAGTGATGAAGAGGATGATGATTATGTAATTGTTGATGTAGAAGAAGGTTTGGACGACGCTAGCGGAGACTTTTCTATTGAGGATGAGCTTAGCGACGAAGATGATCTTAGTGGTGAAGAAGACTTTGGTGATGCTAGGGCTACGAACCGTTTTGACATGGAGATAGCTAGAGATGATGAATCCTTCGTAGAGGAGATAGCCGAAGACTCTGATGACGATCGCCCTGTTGGTCGTCTGAATTTTAGGGAAATAGAGATATTGTCTAGGGTCTTGCCTTGGAGAGATCCAGTAGTTGGTGATTTCGAGGACCTTAGCCATGGTCATAGGGCAGTAGCTGATGGTGGGCCAAGTGATACAACTGTGCCTGATGTTAGCGGTTGCCTCATCATACGGAAGGGCATATTGTTTGGTACCATGGATGAGTTGAAATCATAGTTGCAAGAGTACTCCATTGTACACAACCGACCTTTTAGGGTCATCAATTCATTCAAGGAGAAGAGGTATACTGTTGCTTGTGAAGAACAACAGTGTGGTTGGAGAGTATGTGCTAGGAAGACGAAGGCAGGCAAATGGAAGATTACCTCAGTGAAGCAACCACATGTTTGTGCCACTACTGAGGCAGAAGAGAACCATCTGCAGCTCAATTCTAGGTTCATTGCAAGGCAATTATGCCCCGTGGTGAAGCATATGCCAACCGTTATGGTGTCTGCGTTGGTTGAGATCATCTTCCAACGGTACAATTACTATGTCAAGTATGGGAAAGCATGGAGGGCAAAGCAGCGTGCACTGGAAATAATATTTGGAAATTGGGAAGAAGCTTATGAGCGCCTCCCTGTAATGTTGAACGTAATGAGGGTTGTAAATCGTAGGATGCACTTCGAGTATTTACCTAAGGAGGGTGAAACAAGGAATGGTAGCTAGGTATTTGGAAGGGCGTTTTGGGCGTTCGGGCAGAGCATCGATGCATTCAAGCATTGTAGGCTCGTCGTCTCAATTGATGGGACCTTTCTTACAGGGAAATTTGAAGGCACAATGCTTATTTGTATTGGGACAGATGCAGAAGACCAGCTTGTGCCATTGGCCTTTGCGATTGTTCGGAAGGAGGACACGGATAGTTGGTGTTGGTTTCTTAGGCTAGTAAGACAAGTGGTAATTGGTCTGGGACGTGATGTTTGTGTGATATCCGATAGGCATGCTGGCATTCTGAATGCCGTAGAACAAGAGATTCCTGGTTACGGCCAAATACATCACCGGTGGTGCACCAGACACCTTGCTTAGAATCTTATAAGGCGTGATCACACAAAGGACAACTTCAAATTATTTGAGGAGGTTTGCAGGCAGCAAGAGGTTCAATTATTCAAAGACAAGTTAGATGCCCTGAAGTTAGCCACAAATGTTGATGGCAGGCAATTCTTGAGCGAGTTGATGGCGTCGAAGGATAAGTGGTCACTTGCATATGACACGGGTGGTTGGAGATGGGGCTTCATGACTAGTAACATGGCAGAGATGTTCAACTGCCTTCTAAGAGGTTATCGTGGTCTGCCTGTGACTGCTATTGCCTCATTCACCTTCTACAAGTTGAATTCTTGGTTCGTTTCGAGGAAGAAGCATGCGAGGTCTCTATGGACAGCAGGCAAAGCTTTGCCACTTTTAGCATCTCAGGAACTAGCTTTCTCAAAGAAAAAGTCTAAACGACAGAAGGGTTCATGTTTCGATCCGATCAACCATGGATATGAGATTCTAGAGGGTGGTGGAACTAACATTGGTGGTGAAGACCGGGGTGCTCGAAAACATAAAGTAGTGATCAATGAGAACAAGTGTACGTGTGGAAAACCGATCATATACCATAGGCCTTGCTCCCACATGATTACAGCCTGTCGCCTTAGACGTGTTGACGCTGAGGTCCCTCCCCGTATGGCCGCGGAGTTCTCTTTGAGGAACCTGATGAGCACCTAGAATCCTCAGTTCGAGCCATTTCTTGACGAGAGTCAATGGCCTACTTATGATGGCCCAAAGTATGTGGCTGATCTTGGTTTACTCTGGAAGAGTAGAGGACCTAGGCGGCGGAAGCGGTTCAGGATGGACATGGACCGAGCCACGAAAGGTAGATCAACCACGAGTAAGGTTGGGAGACATTTTGTAGAGGACACCCAAAAGAGTCGTTGCTCTAGTTGCCATAAGCCGGGCACAATAAGAGAAAATGTCCTGAACTACTTAGACAACAGGTATCCACCAAGCTAGCTACTAGAATTGCTTTGTGTAATAGTACATTGGTTTACTTTTGTTTTTTTTATTTTTATGTTACTTCGTACCACATACACATGCTTTAACTTATACTAATGATTTGGCATTGCTTATGTTGCAGGATGGATCGGTTCCCCCTTCTTGATCCAAGGTTCGATGAGCACCACCGGGCTCGGAGGATCGAGAACGGAGAGGTATATTCAACAATTCGTATGAAACATTGCATTGTTCATGTTTTGCTCTATAGTCCATGCTCTTTATAAAGTGACATGAACTAATACTTTTTCATGCTTGTCTTTTTTTGCAGGTTTTGAATGTGCTGAGGCCAATGACACATGAGGCCTCTACGACCATGGTCTACGACGAGAGGTACACGCCCCTCCTGAAGCTGGCGAACCTTGCTACCGTTGCTCGTGTTTGTCGTCGAGGCACGCCACCTTTCAACCCAGCTGCGCTGACGGTGTTGATAGATCGGTGGCGTTCGGAGACACACAGCTTTCACCTACCATGCGGGGAGATGACAGTCACTCTCGAGGACGTTGCCATGATCCTTGGAGTCAAAATCCGAGGGTTCCCAGTGACAGGAGACACGGAGTCTGAAGGATGGCAGCAGCGGGTTGAGCACTTCTTGGGACGGCCCCTAGCGGTAGTTGAGGCTAGCAAGAAACGGTGCAACAGTGGGGTGTCCCTGAGGTGGCTTCGCCGTCAGTGATTTGGAGTGCCCACCAACGTGAGCCGCAGAGACCGTGACATACTCATCGTCGGGCCTACGCCCTCCACATGTTTGGTACGGTTCTCTTCCCCGACGCAGACTGGAGACACGGCAGGCGTCACGGATGTACATCCTGTGCCTTTTGAACTGGGAGGATGCTGGCAATAGGAGTTGGGGCTCGGCTATACTTGCCTTCCTGTGCATCGTCGACTTTGCGAGGCTTGCCACCGGCCCGAGGAGGCGCATGCGCTACAATGTCGGGTGCATCACATCTGCATTGCAGGTGTAATAAAGCAAAGTTGTACAAGTTTCCACTACAATTCAATGTTTTTCTTAACAAAAGTGATTAACATTCATGTTTCCACTCTTTTTTATAGATTTGGATGTGGAGAGGCTTCCAGGTTGGGAGACCGCATCGCCTTGATCCCCACAACCTTGGTTTCCTCAAGGAGACGCAGCTTGTCGCCTTCTACCATGGCACACCTCACGAAAGCGAGCCCACGGAACATACCACGTGTCACGCCACGCGTACATCAACTTCACCAACGAGCTGGACACCCTTTTGACACAGCATGTAAGTTTCCCACCCTTTTGGCCTAATCGAGGATATGTGCACAAATTGAGTGTCGACTAGTTGATGACGACGTTGTGTACAGGTTCAATGGCGCCCATATCGGCGGAGGCAAGTCACGGATCTCAACTTGAGCGCCTTGTGCATGGCAGACGAGGATGTCTGGACGATGAGGACCCCCCTTATTTGTTTCTATGCAGTGGAGTACCATCTTCCTCACCGTGTAGCACGACAGTTTGGTAGGCTACAGCCTTCTCCGCCCGATGATTTCTCCACCAGTTGGCAGCTCCACAAGTACGTAACATGCAATATTTTGTTCATTTCACATGAATGAATCATTGAGTAGGACTTCACATTGTCGATTTGGTGTAAAATTTGCAGGTTCAACAAACAAAAAAATAAGAAGATCACCAACTGGCAGCTGGAGCACCAGCGCTACATTGATGAGTGGATGTTGATGGAGCAGAACAACATGGGCATCCACGCCGTCCATCGTGACAAGGCATTCGATGATTACCTTGTTTGGTTTGGTCAACGAACAAGGCTTCAATTGAGGCCCGCTTGGACGGAGCAAGACATTGCTGATATTGCGAGCGAGGATGAGGGCAACAACCCATATGACCAAGCTACCTGAGAAGGCAGGCAAGTTGAGATCGCCCCTGTGTTAGCCAGAGCTATAAGTGATACAACTATTTCCATCTCTGAGGTCTTTACTGTGATGGAGACTTAAATTCTTGTTTTTGTTGCATAGAGCATGGAGATAATGAGGACAGTGGCCGAGCAAGGAAGGGCATTGATGATTCCTGTGGGCGATCCTGATGAGGCCTCCATGTTACGACAGCACATTCAGGTAGTCTCCTCTCATTCAGTTGATGTTACATCTTTATATAGTTTTGCGACCAACCCCACTTACTAATAGTGCTTTCAAAATGCAGCGTGCCATGCATCGCCTCCGAAAGGTAGCTGCACGCCTTGGATGTAGACGTTCCTCGGATGTGGCAGTCCCACAACAGCTTGGTGCTGGACCTTCTACTGCACATGTTGGAGGGACTTCATCTTCACATGGTGCACATGGTGGCAGGACTTCTTCTTCACATGGTGCAGCAACTAGTGCAGAGGGTGGTCAAGGACATGGTCATTATGATGATGAAGATGATGAAGGACAGGGAGAGTACTATGATCATGAGTATGATGAGATTGGCATGTCCCAGCTTGGAGATGCACCCCAAGGAACTCAAGGCCCCTCCGGTTCTGGACGTCCACAGAGGACGCTCAGACCAGTGGACAGGTACACTCCAGGTACCTATCCGTTTGGGAGGGGAAAGCGTTACGCTCGCCGTCCACGTTAAGGTACAAGGAGCGATAAAAGATCCAAAGACTTCATATGCTATATTTTGTGCATGGACTATGTATGCATTGGACCTTGTACTATGTTTGGACTATGTCTGTTGATTGATGAAGCATATGTATGGACTATGTTGGATGTTGAATGTGTTGGACTATGTTAGATGTTGAATGTGTTGGACCTTATGTATGTATGGATGTTGAATGAATGTGTATGTCGGTGTGGTCATGTGTTATGTGAATGTGTGGAACGTCGCCATGTTTCATGTTTCCAGCTATTAAGAGAGGGCCTCCGTCGCAACTCACAAGGAAGAAGGGGTGTCATCATCCCCATCCTCCATGTTACGATCAACCTCTGTTGGATCCACAGTGACATGGCAAGCACGCAAAGGGGACGAAGCGGCTTAGGAGAGTCGGGGAGCTAGCGAGCTCAGGTCCGTTGTTGGCACAAGGTCATCGTCGGCTGATTAGAGTAGTGGGCAATAGTGAAGCATCAAAGAAGAGATGATATATTTTGGTGAACCCAGGAGCTCGGCGTTTAGTCATTTCACGCCGACCCCTGGTACATACTGGAAACCCTTGCATCGAAGCGCCGAGGTGCCCAAGCTCGGCGTTTAGTCATTTGACGCCGACCCCTGGTACATACTGGAAACCCTTGCATCGAAGCGCCGAGGTGCGCAAGCTCGGCGTTCGGTAAATTGACGCCGAGCCATTAACCTCGGCGTGGGACGACTAAGCGCCGAGGTTCGGCCCAAACCTAGCCACGGCCGTTGCCAAACCCTAGGGTTGGCGTGGGCCGACTCGACGCCGAGCCTCAGCCCAACTCGCAAACGGCCGAGCCAAACCCTAGGGTCGGCGTGGGCCGACTCAACGCCGAGCCTCAGCCATTTTGGTATATGTTGCAATCCTATTTGCATGATTCAAATGAAAAATCTTTCTCAACGATTCATCTTCGACTAACACGAGTTATACTAATAAGAGTAGACATGCTATATTTATGTTTGTATGTTTGTTCCTGCAGGAAAAACCGAATGTTGGTTCGATTTCAATCCCCTATTTTTAGAGAGACTCAAATCTTTTTTTCAGTTTGGGAATCAACCATAGTACATGAAACTTAGAGGTAGGTAAACCGCAATTTATGAAATAGCTTAATGCACAACGATTACACTCACATCAAAACTAACAATGGCATGTCATAAACTAAACCTAGCATGCCTTAGGGGATTGAAAGAAACAAGTGATACGAGACATTGCAAAGGGTACACACTCACATGAAAACTAACAATGGCATGTTGCAAACTAAACCTAGCATGCCTTACGAGATTGAAAAGAACAACTCATACAAGCATTCCACATTCGGATTGACTAACAAAGGTTGGTCCTAATAATGCTCCCACATATTGAATTGAGTTGCGCCTTCCCATAGTATCCTCCAGGTTGATGAGGCGGTGGTGGTGGCGGTGGCGGTGGAGGAGGCCCGTCCTTCTTATGGTATGGGCACTCACAAGACGGATTATTGCATAGTGCCTCCTCTGCATCATTGCTGTTGTTGTCGTCGTCCGACTTGTCCCTGTTACCACTTCTAGGGCCATACTCTAGGTCAAAGATGCGTCCCTATAGATATGTGATGTACTGTTGATGGGGATAGATAGGAGGAGGGTCGACCCATCTAGTGAAGCCACAGTTATCTGGACAGCTTGAATCTTGAAAACCCATCTACCAATAAGTACTACTAGAAATCAAATGCAAATCTAAAAAAGGAGAGAGTTCAAAGGCAATACAAATCCTCGTGGGCATCTGAAGAAACGACGGCCTCCACCGTCACAGTCGTTGTACATCTGCACAACACAATCCAAACCGTGGCCGCATTTTGGCCAATCTTCAATGCGCTTCTCGTATGATCTAAGAGGTCTCTCACGGGTGAAGTCACTCTTCCTCTCTAAAGGAAATTCCTCTATTGGTTCTTCAAAAGAATCAGGACCCAGAGAACCCTCCCACACAATCGGAGGTCCCTTCCTCACCCCCTTTCCTCTCCCTCCGCCGAAACCCTTTCCACTCAAGGAACCTCCGCTCGACATTTGCTAAAACTAAACCAGAAAACAAGTTGTGTGGATGTGGAGCAAGACATGGAGCACTATATATAGAGATGAAGGCAGGTTCACCATGAATGCTACTTGACAAAAAACATGTGTGCGTACTCATTTATTGAATCTGCAAAGGCTAGATGCTTCATCTGAAAAGCCTATAACCATGACTGGTCATTTCATCTGAAAAGGCTACACCTGTGTTTTGTCACTTATTCTAAATGCAGTACATCACTCCGGCGGTCTTTAGAATTTGGGAGGCGTGGGGGAATGGAGGAGGGGAGGGAAGAAGTAGAAGGGGGCCTCGGCCTAAAGGGACCAGACCTCGGCGTTGAGTCGGGCCACGCCGAGGTCTGGAGGCTCAGCGTTAAGTGACCCAACGTCGAGCTTCTGGGCCACCGTGCTTTGTTGGGCCGCTCCGGGTGGGTCCATTAGCTCGGCGCGCAGTCCAGCCGCGCCGAGATTGGGCACTTGGCGTCGGCTGACACGACGCCGACATCTCAGACCCACGCGCCACCGTGTCGACGACGACCCCGGTCATCCGTGACGTGGCAATACCTCGGCGTTGAGTGACACGACGCCGAGCCTCATATCTAGGCGTCATGTGCTAAGACGTCTAAAAATGGTCTATTTTCAGAAAATATTTTGGCGTAGGTATTTTTCTAAAAATTGTTTTCAAAAGAGACCAAAATACAAAAATTTCACTCACCTGCCTAGGATGCGGACGAGGTGGTTCCACGAGAAACTTCCTGACGAGTCTATGTTGGACCTCTCCATGCCGCATGAGTTGGATCGGTAAACCAAACACGCTAATCGACAACATGCTCATAAAAATTCTGACTAGCTAGCTACTTGTGTGGGCCGTCCCGAAGCATGGGACCCACTTGACAACCTTACTACTATTGATGAGGCATGATGGTCGACTTATCTCACACACAACTGAGTGGAGTATGCCATTGTTGTGACAGTCCAATCATCGAATTAGACGAACACACCCAAATAACTTCCATGGCTGTAAAAAACTTGTGCTCATGCTCAGGCAGCAGAGCTCGTCAGCAGCAGCTTCCATTCTTCTGCTTGGCCCTCTCACTGCATGCCCCTTATCATGCCAATTCTCTCTCCTTCAGCTACAACTACAGCTCCTTCAACCCCGATGACTTCAGGCCGGAGGACGACGCACGGGCACTCGATGGCAGGATCGAGCTGCTCGGCGACGAGTTCGCAGGGCGTGCCAGGGGGCGGGCGTGGCACAAGCAGCCGGTGCAGCTTTGGGACGGCACCACCGGCGAGGCTGCCAGCTTCACCGCGAACTTCAGCTTCAGCATCCAGTCAGTGCCTGGCAAGGGCGCTGCAAGCGCCGGGCACGGCATGACGTTCTTCCTCGCGCCGTACACGCCGGACCTGCCGCAGGAGTCCTACGACGGCTGCCTCGGCCTCTTCGATGAGAGCGAGGTGCCTAACTACTCCAGGTTCAACGCGTCCGGCGACTCGAGGTTCGTCGCCGTGGAGTTCGACATCCACAAGGACATCTGGGACCCGAGCAGCCAGCACATCGGCATCGACATCAACAACATGGACTCCCGCGGCGACTACACGGTGTTGCCAGACGGCAGCCTCGTCGACGCCGGCGTGGTGTTCGCGACAGTCGTCTACGACAACCGCACGCGCGGTCTTGACGTCACCCTGATGGTCGGAAGCGCCACTTACACGTCCGTAGCCACCGTGGACTTGAGAAGCTTGACGCCGGAGAAAGTCGCAGTTGACTTCTCGGCGGCGACAGGCGACGAGTACGCTGCAAACCACACGGTTCTCGTTCGTCTCGACGTTGGCAACCAAGAACAGCACCTCCATCCCTGTGACCTCGTCCACCAAGAAGACCACTCTACAACTCAGCGCCGGAGCGGCCGCCGCCGGGTTGCTGGTTCTCCTGCTCGTCGCCACCGTGGCGGTGCTACTAGTTCGGCGGTCAAGCAGAAGGGCAAGCAACCATACGACGAAGAGAAGCTAACCACCGACGGCGACGACTCCCTCGACGTCGTCGATGACAGCGACTTCGAGTCCAGCACGGGGCCCCGACCCATCCCGTACGCCCAACTCGCGTCGGCGACCAAGGACTTCGCGGCGGAGGGGAAACTGGGGCAGGGCGGGTCGGGGTCGGTGTACCGCGGCCACCTGAAGGAGTCCGGCCTCGATGTCGCCATCAAGGTTTTCTCTCGGGGGGCGTCCATGGAGGGAAGGAAGGAATTCCGGTCCGAGGTCACCGTCATCAGCCGGCTGCGGCATCGGAACCTGGGGCAGCTCATCGGCTGGTGCCATGGCCGGAGGCGGCTCCTGCTGGTCTACGAACTGGTCAGCAATGGCAGCCTCGATGGCCACCTCTACAGCACAGAGGCCGGTGACACTGACATGGCCGACGAGGTATGCGCATGTAGCTATCTTATGGTCGGATTCTTACCTTGTCCTTGCTGCTCTACTATTTTTCTCACTCCCGATTGTGGACTACAAGTCTTAAACTTGGCCAATGCAGTCTGCTGTATGTAAGGATGAAAACGGAAAGGAAATATCCCGAACCGAACCGCATCGTTTTCTACATTTGATCCGAGCGAATTCGTATTTTCGGACAAAATACGGAATACTAAATTCGAATTCGAAATTCGGAACACCAAATTCGAAATCGGATCGAATTCGGTTTAGGCTTTGTTCGACCGATTTCTACTTTTCTACTTTTAATTCGGAATATTCCGAATTCGAAATTCAGTTTCGAAATTCGGTTTAAACCAAATTTGGCCCGCTATAAGTGCAACCTTAGAAAAATTATATATTTTTTATACGATCTCGGATGAAGATGATTTTTATATGAAAATTGTAGCTCTCAACGAGATCTACAACTTTCTAGTTCTTAGTTTTTTCATTTGATGTCTTGAAGATGTTCAAAAAAATTAAACAAAGTCAGTGATATATTAATCGCGTACAAGCGCTTATTGCCTTAAAAAATCACATCTTCTTTACGTCGTGTCGAATGGAGATACTTTTTAAGAAAGTTGTAGGACTTGTTAATTATTTTGTACTTGTTAATTGTTATGCACTTGGTCCTATAGCTCAATATTTCGTATTGATTTTCCGTATACCGACCGTGTTCGATATAATTTCGTTCGAATTAGTTCGTTTTCGAAATTTTTGATATTCCGTAAGTTCGTGTTCGTTTTCATGTCCGGCTTTACCGCTTTCGTTTTCGTTTTCGTATTCAAAATGTAGAAATAGAAAACGGTTGAGAAGTTTTTCGACCGTTTTCATCCCTAGCTGTATGGGTGCACGTAGCGATCCGCTAGTAGCACGCTTATTTTGTCAGCACCTATATTTTTACACCGATTAGAATCGGCCAAGAAAATTGGCAGATGAAGCCTCCCGCGGTCCTGCCCAAAAAAGCAGAAAAATGCACATATGCCAACGTGGAAAAGCCAGCAATTCAACCAAGTGGAAATTTCAAATCAAATTAGATTGCGACATTCGCAGACACGAAAAACCCTTGAGTTTTACCGGTTTGGCATCTTTTGCAGTTTGATACGGTCTCTCTCCATTTATTTTTGGGCACTCAGCGGTTTAAAAACTCTGAGGCAATAATATTTGAAACTTAGCTCACACTGCAATACGTGAATGATTTTTTGGAGAGGTGTTCTTGTTTTTGTTAGAGGCGGCATATATCTTCAAAAATGGCTCCTTAGCATCTAGAAAATTGGCTTTTTAGAGATGACTAGGCTTTCCAACACCTATAGATATGCCCTATACTTTTAGAGCTGACTGAAAACCTCAACCGCCTTTAAAAATGCTATGAAACTCTTTTAAGTTATTATATTTTTTATTTTTTTTAAATTTTTAAAGAACCTTGGATGGAAAATCGACTAAAACCAATGTTACAGTACTTGAAGAGATATGGAACATTGTAGTTGACAACTTTTTCATTTAAAATCATTTAGAGCCCTAAAATTCTATTTTAAGATTAATTTTTTTAAATAACTTCTGATGGAGAAACGACATAAACCAAAGTTGAAGTATTTGAAGAGATATAGAACTTTTCAGTTCAAACCTTTTTCATTTTATTCGTTTAGAGTCTCAAATATGCATCACAATATTCACTAAAATGGTTAAAAAGGAATGTATCAGCTGCTTCGACTTAGAGCTCTCTGATACGTAGGGAATTTCATAGGTATTATATAGGAATTTTATAGGAATTAGTTTATTTTTCACTGAAAAACATAGGTGTTGGGAAAAAATCCTCCATTCTAAAGGGCCCTCAGTCACAAGTGACTGAGGCATGGTTTTAAAGATGCAAGGCACAAGGCCTGAGGTGCCTCTCTCATGTTAAAACAATTTTTTTAGGCTAAGTTTTGGCCTGCCTCTAGATATAGATAGAAAGCCTTTTCAGTCGCTGTCGACTAAATGTGCTTGGCAGTCTACCGAGGGTATACCCACGATGGTAGATTTGTCGTAGAGGTGAGTGAGATCAGGAGCGAGATGGTGATAAGACATAAGATTGAGACAGGTTCAGGCCGTCAGCTTGACGTAATACCCTAATCCTATGTCCCGTCGGTTTGTATTGCTATTGTATATGATTGCGTGTGTTTTGAGGGGGGGGGGGCCTACCCGCCTTACATAGCCCGGGGGTAGGGTTACATGCCGATCAGGTCAGAGTCCGATCGGATAAGAGATAGTCTATACATGGAATCATACATTCAGCATATCCTAACAGATTCTACGTGATCTTCAGGATGTCACCGATGTGTTTACAACGTGAGCCGAGCTGTGCCGTTAGCCATAAGCTATCATCTTGTGGGCTGGACCATCTCTTCTTGAAAAGTGCGGCCATGTAGTCCGCCGTGGGTACTGGGGTCGGACCCATCACAGTCGCCTCTAGAAAACATTTTCAGTATAGAAGTGGAAAACGACAATAATGGCGTAACATCCTAAAAAATCTTTTTTTGGAACAAACATCCCAAAAATCTATTATCTTAATATTCTACCAAATAAAAGAGCTCTCCGTCCTATAAATTATCACATTAATCAGGCAAAATAAAAAGCAAGGTACTGGTACAAATGTCAAAAATTACTTTTTTAGGGCCGATTGGATTTTTTTATTTGGAGGAATTAAAATCTACTTAATAAATTAAGCTATTTGGCTTGAAATTTGATATTCCATCACTTTCTATAGTTCACATATAAGACTATTTCAAATTCATAGGGTAGAAGATGGAAATGGATCTATAGATCGCCATTCTATGTTTTTACTTTTCACTTATAATACACTCTTTAACTCACTCTCCTATGGTAGAAATACAACACATAAGTACTTCTCTCATATAGCCAACAAAATATACAAATATAATCAATATACAACCATATTAGCTTAATTAATATGTGTCTAAAATACGATTACTAAATTAAATTTAATTTCAAGGATCCAAACAGGGTCTTGCTCTACTGCCATTATAAAAAAAATCCAATATGTATACGCATATGCTTACGTTTTTATTGCCCACCATGCCAGGAAATTATTAAATAAAGAAAATAAAGCCAAACCCCATATATTGCACCATGTATGCATTTTCAAAGATAACAGAAACATGTTTGAAGGTCACAGTAAATAAATGGTCAATTTAATCGTATCCCAAAAGGAAAGTGTCGCTGAATAAGAAAACAAATTATATCGGACAATAAAATGGGCTACCGGTTTGACTGCTGGATGTCGTTATCTGCACTACATGCAAATAAATGGGCACCTAAAATATAGAAGAAGTGAAAAAAAATCAGGATACCAGTGCTAGAAATTGGTGTCGGCTTAAAAAATAATTGACCTTGAGGTTAGCTTAAAAAAACTATAATTCATCTTTAGTCTCTTTCTCTTCTTCACTCAGACAAGTACTAATTGTGTAACTTGAAGATAGAAAAGGACATTATTCATAAAACCAACGGTTCACATTATATTTATTTTATCTAACCACATAATAGAATTATACAATCAGAAGATATAATTTGAGAAAAATATTTTATTTGTATTTAGACATTTGTTATTTTAATTGAAGAGACTTTTTTGACCTATAATCTCTATAATTAGTTATACTAATGAATAGTAGTAATACGTGCTATGCATCCTTAGAGGGGCTAGGCCCTCCCTGCACCCCCCTTCTCTACTCCCCCGTCGGGCAACGGAGCGGCCAAAGGAGGCGCTCACTAGGTGCACACGGACGTGAGAGATGCACTCATTTAGAGCAGAGAGGAGCGGAGGCAGTGCTTACAGCGTCCCCACTCGACAGTTGATGACAGGCAGAAGGTATAGAAGGTAGCGGTGGAAATTCTGGATCCGGCATACTTGCCCTGAATACGTGCACGAGGGGATAAGGGGACCATGGCAGACTCAATTGCGCACTCGTTGAAACAGTGATGGCCTACAACGACATGAATGGATGTGGGAACAAATGTGAAGCTTACGTCGACCTTCCGCTGCATACTACCGCTTGTCGACACTGAACTCATGCCATTTTCCATCGCTGGCACTCAACACCCTGTGCGTCGGACGCCATGCCCCTCAAAGAGTTGAGCAAGGATGGAGAAGTGAGGGAGGAGAGAGTAGCTGGCGGTGGTGCTTCGTGGCGGCGCCTACCTCGCGCTGCTTGCTGGCATCCGCACTCGCCACCCTGCGCGATGCATGCCATTGCTCGCGGAACGGAGAGGGGAAGGACAAGAGCTGCTGGGGGGGTTGAGGAGGGTCTAATTATAATTTTCACGCTATGCTGTTGTTGAGTGCACATGTCATATCGTGTTCAAAGGACCAAACAAAGATGTATAGATCTCCGGTGAACAATAATAATATGGGTTACCAAACAGCTCAACATCTTATTTCCTTCTAGCTTATGGTAAGCAAGATTATATAATCTAGGTTTACATAATCTAGCACCTATAAACTGGAGTATATATATAATCTGGCCAGGGAAAGATGCAGGGCAGTGGCGGCCTATTTCACAAAGAGACATTTCCTTTGTGTCATTATAAAAGATCGTAATCCTCTGTGTACCTCAGAAAAAATTAACTTTTTCGTGTCCTCTATGCCACTTCCGTCAGTTTGGGCTCTAACGCCGTCAAACTGCAGGTGTGAAAAGACGAAAATACCCTTAAGTCTAAATATGTTATTTTTTTAGCATCTTAACGACTTCAAATGAAAAAACTCAAAACTAGAAAGTTATAGATCTCGTCGAGATTTATAATTTTCATATAAAATATATTTTCATTTAATTCCGTAAAAAAAATATGATTTGATATGATTAATATATCTTAGAAAAATCATCATTTTTTGCGGAATTAAATGAAAATAAATTTTATATGAAAATTATAGATTTTGACGAGATCTACAACTTTCTAGTTTTGAGTTTTTTCATTTGAAGTCGTTAAGATGCTAAAAAAAATTAATAACATATTTAGACTTAAGGGTATTTTCGTCTTTTCACATCTGCAGTTTGACGGCGTTAGAGCCCAAACTGATGGAAGTGGCATGGAGGACACGAAAAAGTTGGAGTAGTGGCGCTGAAGACCGCTGAATTTTTCCAGAGGCACATAGGGGATTACGATCTTTTATAATGACGCACAGGGAAAAGTCTTTTTCACAAAATAACAAATATGTACGGAATATATTTCAATGGATGTTTGCTTTATCTAGAATTAAACGAGCTTAACAGGTTTTAATGCGCGGCAGAGCAGAGTATGTAGTGTCCTCCAATATTTTGTACGAGTAGTAGGAGTAATATGAACTTTGAACAAAGCACTCACTTGATGGGTTTTCTACTATGATTATACCTTGTAGACTAATGAAGCTCTGTACTTTTTTTTTTGAAAGGAGGACAAACCTCTGCTTATACATGACTGGGGTTACCAGTTAAACAGATGAGTTAAAAACTAGGCTTACAACTTCCACAAACAAAGCCTTTCAACAACCATTGAAAACTAGGCCTATTACACTAAAATTCACAGATATCCATCGACGCCACGTTGCTTGGTTTAAATGATTTCAGCCACTGGACGATCTCCTCCTTCATGTACAGCAAACGCTCCTAGTCCTCCTCGAGCAGAATACTCCACCTCTGCAGCAATGATAAGACAATATACTACATCAGTTGGCGCTTTAGGAAAGTATTTTGTATGGCCATCTTGTTTCGAGCAGTCCAGAGTGCCCAAGTGATTTTTTTTTTAATTTTAACACTTTTTGAAAACTAATTTTAAATCTAACACTGTGGAGTTTTTTTAACTAATACTTTTGGCCACGCCTATTGCCCTGGCGCAGCCAAATGCCTGTGCCGCACCATGCATGGTGGCGCAGCAGCGGGCTGACGTGGCGACGACCGGATTCGTTGACAGCTGACGGGGCAAGGCCTGCCGCGCTCTGATCCGTGGCGCGGCAGTCCTGCCTGCCCGAGCAGCAAACCCCGCGCCTGGCCGCGCGCGCATTCGGTTC